ATTAAATTAAAACAAAAATTAAAACAATACTAATATGTAAAAAATTTATTTCAATACATAATGCACAGTCGTGTAATTGTTTCTAATATTTTGATTCTGCAAGAGATGATAATTTCTTTTTAAACGATAAAGTCTTACGTTCACACGGCGGGAAATCTCAGAATAAATCGATCGTTTTTCTCGAAAAATATTTTTATCGCTTTTCTCTTATTCTCTTACTATATAATCGATTTGGAATGTTGCGTTTAATTAGATTTGAGTGCAAAAATCGTGCACGCCGTTGATCGTCCATGCATGGAACGGCTCTGCGGAATTTACTTCGGTATTTTCAAACGGTACCTTACTCACGCGGTGCGTTCTGCCAGAACGGAGATGACGGCACATACCAACTCTAAGTACGTAACAAAAATGGAAATTTTAATTTTTCCTTGATTGCTATCTGCTTGTTTTACGTACTAAAACTTCATCTACTTCATCTAAAATTTCACTTATGCTTTCTCTGAAAAAACATAAGCATACGTATAATTGGATATAAAAAAAAAAAATATCATGATCGATAAATGTTGATGTACTTCCAATGATGAATATATATTTTTATACTGTACATGTAAGTTTATTTCATCAAACTACAAAAAATACTTACTATCGGAAATTAATTAGAAATTATCAAGAAGAAAGATTTTAAGTCCAATTACATTAATTTTGTTATACTTCCTTTGAATGTGCAATTTATATCGTAAATTCACAATAATTACGCGCGAGCAGATTATAGTATACGGAAAAAATGCTTTTGTGTGCTGAAGTATCTAAAAATTTGGCCAGATACAGATTTGAATATAATTGTTTTAAACCAAAAATATTTATATAAGGCATTTAAATTATTTATTAGAATATAAAAGATTTATATCGGTATTATCATCATATTTAAGTGTCCTACATAATAATTTTGATGTTCTAACATTATTTTCAACTCTATATCTAGCCTAAATTTGTAGACACTTTAGACTTTAGGAAAACCGTATCTTCGTTCTTTCCGTATTATCATTATCCAGTAAGTGTAAAAATTATTTAATGTAAAAATTTTGATAATCTTTTAATTTTTTAATTTAATTTTTAATTTTTTAATTTTTATATTTACATTTTGCAGCTGCACATCTGTACAGTACATGTACATATAATCTCATCTATCGATAAAAGCAAAATTTTTATAAGCATTTTACGGTCCAATGCCGCATAGTGTAATGATTCAACTACATATATTACGAAGACCAAGGTAACAGATGCTTAGTTTTGTAGGTTGCATGTGATAATAATAATAATAATAACAGTTATGATCGTGTCGCGGTAATGATTGACCATATGACACGCCTCAATACCTCGATGGCAAGCCAAGTGAATCAGAAATGTATATTATAAAGTTGATGATTATCATAGTATATTTCTGATTCATTTGGTTTACCATCGAGGCATCGATGTGCAATCACACAATCAATTATTATCGTGACCTTACAAATTATTATTATAATAAAAAATTACAAATTTAACAAAAGATTACTTTTTTTACAAGAATACAAGAACGAGAATAATTATAATTTCCTATAGATTTTTGAGTGCTTTAATGATATTGTAAATAAATATAAAAATTTTTTTGAATAATATTTAAAAATTTTAATCTTCTACCGATAATTTTTTAGGAATAGTATTTAATAATAAAATTTAATTTATGATAAAAAATTTATCATTCTTGAAAAAAGCGTTATCCTGTACTCTTGCATGTTTTTTCGTGAACTGTGTTTTTAATGTGAACTGTGTTCATCTGGTGAGTGACAGCCATTCAGCTGTGAGCACTTTTTCGTCTTGACAGAAACGCACATATACTCATAAAATTTTGTTTTTATCTCTTTAATTTCAATCTAAATCGATAAGAGTGGAGGAAAATTAATGGGAACTTGAGTAATAGAAATATAATTATATCTAAAAAAAAAAGAGATAAAATTTTGACATTCTCAAATTTTTAAGAAATATTTTATTTATGATTCTTGTAAATTAAAAATTTTTTAGACACTGATATTTTCTCTAAAATTAAAAATAGTTTTTTAAAATAAAAGTGTTAACTATTGTCTTTAACACTTAAAATAATATAAATAAATGAGATGTTTGGAGGATTTTTTAAATGAATAAATTCAAAGAATTCAAAGAATTTATTCATTTAAAATTATTAAAAACTTATTTTCAAAAATTTCAAATTTTTTTTCTTGTTTATATATCTGTTAAAGTTTTTTTTGAATAACAACTCAAATTTATTGAGAAACTTTGCATAATGAATTTAATTGCATCAATTTTGATTTTTTTGGATTAAAATAACACAATTGAAGAAATTGTTATACAATAATAACATTAGTGTATTCTTCTATTTTTTTATATTTTTTTTACATCACAATTTAATCATCACAATTCCTCTCTGGAGGCATAATTTTAGACCCGTTTAAAATGGGAAATGCTAAAAGTTTATTAATTAAATTAATATTTTGGAAACTTGGATTATTGATATATTTCGAAGATTATATATATGAGATTATTCCATTCTCGGATGTCATGTGTGAACTTCCCTCGCGGAGAAACAGGACACGTGCGTAGATGCGTATGTGCGTATGCACGAGGGATACGTTTGAAACGCCTGAGTCCAACGTAAAGGAAAAGGCGTAAGTACGCGGCGTAAGTACATACCTACTACTCGGAGACAGCCGAGGCATTGACCCGCGCGCAAGAGCGGTTAGTCACATATGCACACGTAGATCACCTGTTTTATTATATATATATATATATATTATTTTAATACACGCACAGCGCGCTGTTTTAATAGCAAACGGCCCCTAGTGCCCCATTATATTTCTTCGCGGCTATTAATTAATGCAAACAATTTTCCAAACAATTTGCTATTATATCTGCCAGATTTTTATATTTATATTTTTAAATCATCGAACTCGAGTTCGCAGTCCTAATCTTTTTAGGAATTTTATTCCTAATAAAAGTAAAATTACAGTAATAAATGATATACGTTTTCCTTTTTCTCTACACAACAAGAAAAAAACACAATAATTTACACGTTTTGCCTTTATTAATTTTTTTATGGAACTTTTCACCGTGATGATATCTATCGGAAGCGTAGGGCGAAAAAATGGGTATATTTGCGATTTAGTAAAAATCTATTATTGTCGTAGCCTAAAGTACGAAGGATGTTTGAAAAATTTTGCAAATCACATATGTATAGCAATATTAACAAAATTCTCTTTCAATCATCTTGTTCTACTCAAATAAGCGTCAAAAGTTTTAGCTCGGTACGTTACGTAATTATACAAAAATTTGAGTATAAAGGAGTGCGCGATGGATACCGCGTTTATAAAAAATATCGAATTGAATTTTATCCGAATGTTTGGAGCATTATACACCTAATCCGAAAGAATATTTGCGCCGATTCATAATTAACAATGTTTAGATCCAGTACTATACATCTAAAACAAACGAATAATCAACATAATGAATACAGAGCGGCAAATCGGCTATTGACGAATTTTTCTATAAAAATCGTTCTCGAAAATCATTAAGCTAATTGTAAGTATATCGAATCAGAAAGAGGATATATTTAAATATAAGTATATATTAAAAAATATATATTAAAAATAAGTAATTACTGTTTTGAATAATTTTCCTTTTTTCATTGTTCTGATTCGCAAAAAATTTCAAACACATCTTATACATGATAAGTGACAGATACATGATACAAAGATCTCTCGTCAAATGCTATTTATATGTTTTTATATCGATCAATATGACTAAAGATTGTAAAAATATCCAGTATTTGCACATAATTTAACAACAAAATAAATTTAGTTTTAAAGCAAAACGTTTATTCATTATTAAATGATTGTGCAGCAATGATGCAATTTTTCGTCGAAATAAAAAAGTTTTTCAAACTTACAAAGTTACAGGGAAAAAGCAGAAAAGCTTGCTTATTATATAAGAAATTGATAGATACTGATTATATTTATTTGATCAAATTATAATAAAAAATATTAGTGAATTTTTGGAATCATTGACTTTTAATAATAATGAACAGTTAATTTAACAAAGTTATTAATTACTAATTAATAATTATTAGCTAAATTTGTTTCTTTTTATTTATTTTTATTTGCAAACAATGCAAGAATTTAATTAATTATTCTGAAGATTTAAAAGAATCAAATTTGTGAAATTTGCACATTTTGTATTTCAACTCGTAAGTAGCTATTTTAAATGACAAAATCGATAAAATAATATTCGTAAAATTTATAGTTATAGGAAGTAACACTGTTTCAGATCCATATTTCACAATTATTAAAATCGAGATCATGTTAGCGCCAATGATTGACAGGGTATAGTCGAATA